CGGATACCCCAGACCTCGGACTTGAGGCTGCCGGCGGCGAGGTCGAGGCACTGCGGGATGTGCGGCGCCGACTTGCCGAGCTGGGTGATGAAGGAGCTCTTGAACATGTCCTTGAGGCAGTTGAGGGCGTGGACCTGGGGCAGCTTGGAGCCGTCCGACTCGGAGTTGAAGGCGGGTTTGCGGGCGATGGCGACGAGCTCCTCGATGACGACGTCGAAGGAGGGCTGCGGCGCGTTGGCCGAGACTATTCCGGTGATCATGGCGGGGATACCGGCAGAGCGGCGGGTAGTGGATGCTTGGGAAAAGATGCACTCCTTAGTTCCCCTGTACCAGACGTCGAGCAGGGTCTCGCCGTTCTCGTGGCCTGCTTGAGGGTCATCGAGGTGCTTGACCAGCTGGCAGCAGGTTGCGAACGACAGCGAGACAGTGTTGAAGGCACCGCGGTGTCTGAGGCTCGACAGCTGGTCAAAGGTCAAGGATCCGACAGTTGTGAAGAGGTCAGTCGAGGGGCGCAGAATTCCTTCCTTGGCCTTGGACTTGAGAGGCAGGACCATGACACGCATCAGAGCACTGAGTAGCATGTTAGACGAGATATCTACACAGCATTATGTAGACTCTTATTACTTACCTGGACTCGTGGATGGCGCGGAAGCTGTAGCTCAGCAGGTCCTTGGTGTCAAGACCTTCGAGATCTTCCAGCTCCTGGGGCAAGTGGCCCTCGGGTGAGTCGTCGCACAGAATGTCTCTGACCGCAGCCCAGATGCGTTGACAGCACTTGACAATACGGTTCTGAAGGATAGCCATTGCTTCCATCTCGGACGCCGAAAAGCTCATATCAGCCGCAGCTTGCCAGATATACCTAATCCTCGGTCAGTCCACGGCACCTTTCGAAGGAGGCATAGTATTTGTTGCACCCACCGGAGAGAAGCGTAGTAGCCATGCACCGGCGCCTCAAGAACGGCATTACCCAGATCGGCCTCTGCAAAGGCGAGCTTGCCCTCAAGAAGATCCATCAACTTTGAAATATGCGCAATCTGCGCCTCCCTACCGTCATAGAATCTAAAGAGAAGCTCGTTTGTCCGAGCAACGCCATCAGCGTGATCAGCTCGCGCCGTCCTCCGCGCAATATCCTCGGCTCTCAACAAGAACTCTTCCAGTGTCGGTGAGACACCTTGTGCGCCAACGAGACACTTGAAGCGCTTGTCGCCAAACAAGTTCTTGAGGACAGACGTACCGTTCTCCCGAACGTCGTCGAATGGGTCCATGATGAGGTCGAGGAGCGCGCGCGTCCACTTCCCGTCAAACAGGTTGAAGAAGAGGGTCTCGTCCTCCTCCGTCTCCCACGTCTTGCCAGCGTCGGCTTCGAGCTTGAGGATGAAGGCAACGGCCCTTAGCGCGGTAAAGTGCCGCTGGAAAGAGGCTGTGGGGATCAGCTCAGACCGCAAAAATGCAATGTACCACGCCAAAAAGCTTTCGTGCTGCTCCAAGCTCGCTCGCAGCTTATCCTCTGGCCAGAGCAAGATGTTGGTGCGGTGGTTCGCTTGCTTCGGCGGCGCCTTAGGGGCCTTTGGCGCACCATTGGCAGCGCCGTCAAAGGCTTTGAGACGGGCCAGACTCTTATGCAGGATGAAGATTGCGCCTCTGCTGCGCTTGAACATATCTTTGAGCTTGCTCAGCAGTTCCATGCGGAACTTTGCGTCCGACTCCGAGAAGTACGTCGGGAGATGGGCTTGCAGCAGGCGGAGGGCCACTGGTGAGTAAGGCCTCGTCGTTGAAGGTGAGGCGACGATGAGGGACAGCGCCAGCGAGCGGAGCTCATGGGAAGGATGTGACAGAACCCTTTCGAGCACGGCCGATTCCAAGACTACCGCTGAAGAGGACTCCTCTCTGTAGATGGCGCCGGGCTCCTCGACCATGCCTACCTTCTTACCAACCTCCAGCACGGCGAGGTTCAGTTGGGCCAGAGTGTCTAGCTCAGCCACGGCCGAGCCAGAGGTAGACCACATGCTGTTGATCTGTTCCAGGATCTGGACCGAGTCTTTGCGGTCATCCTTGAATAACGGAAGGAAAACATACGTCTTGATACCCTCAAGCAAAGACGGCGTCTTGGCAATGGCAGCCTGGACCCAGCGAAGCCACATTTCAACGCTGAACTGTTCAGCGCCTGCAGCTTGCGGCGTCTTTAGAGACTGCTGTCTCAGTGCCCTGAAAATGGTCACGATGAACTTGCCCGTAGTCGGGCACACGTAGTGCATGGTCATCCAGTCGAGCATCTGGCCGAAAAAGTCCTCCCAAAGTGCAATGTCGGACGCCCAGCTGCACTCTGGCTGCGTCCGCTTATAACTCGCCGCAATGTCTTCGACGCTAAAAACGGACTTGCCGGCAAAGTAGTCCATGGCCTTGAGCGACGACTTGACCAAAGGCTTGGTGGACTGCGGTCCAATGATGGAGATGAGGGTGTCCAAGATGGTCGTCTTGACCAGGTCAGAGACAGCATGGTCGGGGTTACGGCGGATGAGCGAGGGGAGCAGGTCCAAGACCAGCTTCATGGACCGGTGCTGCTCTGTCTCATTCCACTTGATGAAGAAGTTGAAGAGTCCCAGGCTGGGCTCTTTGGAAAAAGCCCATTGCCGCAGGGCTGGCTTGTCGGACTTTGAGCTTTGCTCGACAAATCCACAGAGCTTCACGCATGAGTTGCCCGAGACTCCCTTTGGCTGAGCGGCCAGGGAGAGTAGGTGGTCAAAAACATTTTGCGCGATGCTATTTGCAAAAATGATGTTAACACACATACTACGCTTGGAACATTCACTTTAGAGGGGTATTGACTGGGGAAATATCTTACGAGATCCACGACTCCTCGGGCTGTTCCTCAACCCATTTGAGCAGGTCACTCGGGTTGACGAAGCTCTCGTACTGGGGGACGGTATCCTGCTTCATCGCTATCGCATAATTGGTGAACCCGGCGAGTGACTCTGAGAGTTGGGTAGAAGGAGGGGCACCGAGGGGCAGCGGCGAAGCGAATGAGTGCTGGCCGAGTGAGTAACAGGGGTGTGTTTTTTTCCTTTCGTCTGTCGTCTACAACTCGGCGTGTAAGTATCGGAAATGAGTGCACTCAAATTTCTGATTTGCTTCAGATCTTACATAAGAATCTCCGATTTGGGAAGGCCTCGTCGTTCGAGGTGCTTCGTATCGGACACGGGAAAATTCTAGGTACCACGAGTTTGCAGCACGTGGTTCGTAGCATTAACTCGACGCGCCGGCGAAGACTCATCGCGGGGCACCAAAACGCCAGGGTCCCGACTGACTTTTTTTTTTTTTTTTGCGCTCCCGTCTCCCAGTGACATTCAGCCAATCGCCTGCATCTTCTGGAACGTCGCGCGCACGGTCCACTCCACCCACACACGGTGGTGTGGCCAAACTTTTTCCCTGCCCTAATTGAAAAAGAATAAGGCGCCCCGCCGAAATTTGTCCCCGGCTGCTTTTCTTTCCCCTTCAACCCCATCACCATCCAACATCTACCGTAAGCACCAGATTACTGGGAGATATCGCCAAGATGTCGAAAATTACGGTTGCCAACGTCCGCACTCAGGTCTCTGAGCTGCTCGAGTACTCTCTCGAGACCAAGAAGCGCAACTTCCTCGTCAGTCTACCCACCTCTGTCGCTCAATTGAGCGCAAAGTCCGCGACCGAAGCGGAGCAATCAGCAAATGCTAATACCCCTCACAGGAGTCTGTCGAGCTTCAGATCGGCCTCAAGAACTATGACCCCCAGCGTGACAAGCGTTTCTCCGGCACCGTCCGCCTCCCGGTCGTCCCCCGCCCCAACATGAGCATCTGCATTCTCGGTGACCAGCACGATATCGATCGTGCCAAGCACGGTGGTGTTGACGCCATGTCCGCCGACGACTTGAAGAAGCTCAACAAGAACAAGAAGCTCATCAAGAAGCTCGCTCGCAAGTACGACGCCTTCGTCGCTTCCGAGACCTTGATCAAGCAGATCCCCCGTCTCTTGGGTCCGGGTCTGTCCAAGGGTATGTTCCTTCACTTCCCCTTTTGCTATTTCAGATTTGAACCCGTATCTAACAATTTCGCAGCCGGCAAGTTCCCCACCCCCGTCTCCCACGCCGACGATCTCTCTGGCAAGATCACCGAGGTCAAGTCCACCATCAAGTTCCAGCTGAAGAAGGTTCTCTGCATGGGTGTCGCCGTCGGCAACGTCGGCATGACCCAGGAGCAGCTGATTGCCAACATCATGTTGGCCATCAACTACCTCGTCTCCCTGCTGAAGAAGGGCTGGCAGAACGTTGGAAGCTTGACCATCAAGGCTTCCATGTCTCCCCCCAAGCGCCTCTACTAAGTGCGCCCTCTTCTCGTCTTGTTGGTGTTTCTTGCGAGGGGCCTGTGCTAGGTAGAGTACCGCCAGAGTTAGTTGTGTCGATGGCTTAAGTGCTTATTCGCATAACGGTTCACTCAAGGGTGGGAATACACCTATCACGGGTATTTCATAGGAAGCTCTGCGCATGGATTAGGAGCCTGTCAATACAAAATCATCCTTTTCCAGACCATGACACAAGCCTTAATATGCATCAGTGAACTGTAACGTTTTTAAGAATAAGTGCTTGATAACAATGGGGAGCCAAGCCCCAGTCTAGGTCTGATCGTTAGAAAAGCCTTGCCGTATGTGTGATCCCATTCGCACAGAGGGCTCCCTACCATATAGCTACACGGTAAGTCCCTCACATCCTCCCTCACATCCTCCCTCACACTCAACGCTCAGAGTGTCGTATCGGGGAAGCCCCAAATTATACTGTCTCATATTGATAGTGAAGGCGAAGAGTGCTTGAATACCGCGTTGCCAAGCCTTGTCCTACGCCTGGTTATTCATAGCGTTGAAAATAGCAAAGAATGTCTTTCGTTGCTAGAAGTCTGATGGGCGGGTAATCGTCAAGTCGTCGATGGTACCCCCAATCAAGGAGCCGAGAAACAACGTATACCGTAGATTTAAACGAGAACCCCCATTATTTCGCTAAACTCAACAGTCGGCTCAACAATTGCAGCCGCGCGTTTGGCAGCCCTGTCAGCCTCGTTATTGAACTTGCGAGGAATGTACCAGAAGCGGACGTGGACATTGTTATCGTGAAGTATCTCACTCCTAAGCAACAGGGCCTCCCATAGGTCCCTATTCTTCACGTGTTCGCCGGCGCTTGTTCGCCAGCCCTTCTTGATCCACGCGCGAGCCCAGTCGGTGGCACCGTTCACGACGTAGCTTGAGTCGGTGGCAATGACGATACTTTTGAAACCCTCACCCCACCAGGCCCTGAATTGGAGCGCGGCGAGGGCGGCGCGCAGCTCGGCGCGGTTGCTGGTGTGGCGGTATGTCTGGCCGTCTGGCCCCTTGTCCTCGAGCTTGAAGGCCACACACCCGCTCTCGTCATTGGGGAGTACCGGCTTGAAGATGAAGGCGGAGCCACCGCGGGCTGCAGCGTTGCCATTGTCAAGACAGGCCCCGTCGGTGTAAATGAGAACTTCCGAGTCGTCGTAGCGATTGATGAAGCGGATAACAGATGGAATAGCTATCGAGGACTTTTTCGGAAGGAAAAGTTCTTTGGGCTCCAAAGGCGTACTGGTCTGCGGGTCGTGGTGCGGGTTGAATTTGAAGGGAAACAATTTGCCGGAGAATTCACTGCGGCAAGAGACAGATGGGTTGAGAGTAGGTGCCCCGAGAACAATCTTTGGGCCTTCCCCCATACGAACGGTGGAGATCAGTTCATCGTCGTCTATGAGGGGCGGCGGACCATCGCTGTCGTCGTCATCTTCATCATCCCAAGTAGACTGGACACGCGCTGAGGATCTCCGAGATCCGCTCGCAGTGATTCTCTCAGGACGGCCATATCGGCTTCTCGCAACATGAGCGAAGCTGACATCCCTGGGAAGGCGAGAGTCGTAGTCAAAGCCAAAGATTTCTTCGTCATCCTCGTCCAAGTAGTTTCCGTCTTCGTCGTACTCGAAGTCATGGCTGAAGTCAAGACAACATTTTCCGCAGGTGACCATGTGATGAGATGCGCAAACGATAATGGTTCGCCCGTTGGGCAGCTCAAGATAGTCGATATCCGGCCAGGTCATTCTGCACTGCAAGCAAGACAATGGGCTGTGAATGAGCGGCCCAACAGTGGTAGAACAAGAGGTCAGGTCCGCAAGTCAGGCGGCGTAAGTTTCCTAGTTGAAGATGGGAGCTCTAGGTTCTTTGCACTCGGGTTGACTGGGCAGGGTTAAGCTTTATGAAACCCTGGGGAGAACCTGAGGTGCCTTCCCGTTCTATCAAAGTCAAGGGAGGCAGGTGCAAATTAGTGGTAGCTTCCTGAACCTTTCCATCTTCATTAGCTCGGCCTCACTTGCCTCGGGTAGTTCATTACTATCTGTAGTCACTGAGGCAGGTAGCCTCTGGAAAGACTCCTTACGTTCCTGGTCAAGTTTTGACATGACATCCCGGTCCGCTTCAATCGGGGTCCCGTCCATCCATGAATGGAAAGGAAGATTGGTGAGAGGGCAAGAACAGAAAAGAGAAATATGATAACATAAGCCATGTCGCTGCAAGCTGACCACCCTGGCTGTGCTGAGCACCGTGTTTGCCATCCACCTCACCTGAGGGTGTTAATAGTTTCAGAAGAAGCTTCAACAGAGCTCATGGACTCCTTGCACACAAATTAATGGTAGAGCTCCTTTGTGTAGCTTGCTGTTCCCCATATCCCGCAGGGTCAGAGAGACTACGGAGTGTAACGTAGGGAGCACGGATACTGTGTACGGCCACATGCAATGGAAGCTACTCTTCAAATATTACCACGGAAAAGCTCGTGACAAGTTCGAACCAGTTGGAAGCACAATAATGCCTCCTGCACATGATAACCCATGGATTGAATTATTTCAGCAGCATGGGTATATTGACAGTTTCGACAGAAAGCATGGAAACGAGAGTACATTGCAGCTGCAAATGATGGATTCAGCTGCATTCGCAGGCGGCGCACTCAAAACACCCAACCACCGCAGGGGATATCCATCCTCCATAAGCCAACATATAGCCATGCCTAAAACCAATTGAAAAGCACCGCAACAATGAAGATGAAACTTTTTGTACACTCCCGCCCTCGATCAGTCACTCTCATCAACGTCCATCGACTCCTGAGCGGCCCTCCCACGGGTGCTCCGCGCCGACGTCCTCGTCGCTCTCGGAGCGGGCTTCTCTTTGGCTGCAGGTCGGGCTGGTAGTTTAGTCTTGGCTGCCGCTTTTGATGCCGCTGCCGACCTGCCCTTTCGCCCGTTGGATTTGGGCGGTGGCGTAGCTTCTTCCGGCTCTTCCTCATCGTCTGCTTCCACTGCCTCCTTCTCCGGTTCCTCTGTCGCAACGTCCTCAACCTCGGACAACGGCGAATCATCGCCGCTGTCATCCGCAGCAGCTGTTGGCTTCTTAGCCCCCTCGCCATTTTCTTCCTCTGGGGCTTCCGAGAGAACCGAAGAGTCATCATCGTCATCTGACACCTCCGTCTGTTCTCCATCTTCATTCTCGTACGTCCACTTGCTGACGCCGTCCCACATCTCACGGTCGTCGTCGGATGAGTCGCGTTCGGTGTACTTGGATACAGCAGTGGTAGCAGCACGGCCGCTGCGTCTCCGATTTTCCAGGGGAATGTCAGATTCGCGGCGCGGGGCCTTGACCTTGGCGGGCTTCTTGACCTTCTGCTTCTTCGGCTTAGGCTCCTTTGGTGCCTTAGGCTCCCTGACCCTCGGGGCTGACCTTGCCTTCTTGGCTGGATGGTGGTCTCCACGATCATCTGTAGACTTTCTCTTCTGTAATTTTGTAAGCTTAGAGATCGGACAACATGGGAGACAGTGTCGGCTGACCTTCTTTCGATCGATTGATTTGAACAGACCGTCCAATTTCTCATCAATCTCTGACGGCAGGTACTGCTTCTCGGCAATCTCCTGAGCGACCTGGTGTGAAGGCAAGGCAGTGTAGAGGCCGATCGGCAACCCGACCTTGCCCGGGTACGCTTGGAAACTCCAATTCTTCCTCTCCTGCCATTTCCTTACAACGGCCTGGGCCAAATCGCTGACAATGTAAAGATTCTCGCTCGCCTCCGGGCTGATCGCATCACGAGTCTGCTTCACCCTTTCAGCGTACTTGTAGATGAGTCCCAAGTTCTCTTCCGTTGCCACATTTGTAAGATAGTACAGAATGTAGCGGCCATGGTCCGCTAGGTCACTGGCGTATGAGCTCAATTCCTCTGCACTGGCATCATCGATATTCTCTGGCTTGTTGAAGTCGGGATGGTGAGACAGCAAAGAGATGAGTCGTCCCATGATCGCCTCCATAGGGTGCTGTTCATTCGCCCCCAATGCGCGAGCCCGGGACCGGATCCAGGTCTCAACGCGCTGCTTCAGATCGTTATTCGGCTCGAATGCCGTCAAGAAGATGATGGTGTAGAAGCGTGCCCGAAGCTTGTTCTGCACAAGGTACTTTTGGAGCTTCTCGATGAAACCCCGGCGAACAGTTAGTTCGGTATCCTGCGCCGTGAATGCGAGACGGTTGAAATCGGCCGGCGTCAGGAAGTCGTCGAAATGCTTGATGGTACATAGCTTCAGCAACAGCTGAGCTGCTAGCAGACGAAGTCGTGACTTGTGGTGGTTGGGAGTATCCTTCGTCTTACAGAGCTCTCCTCTCTTCGCGACCAATGTCTTGAGCAGCTTGAAGACAGGTACGGCCTTCTCTTTGGCCTCTTCGACATCGTCCATACTGCGCAGTCGGTTGACGAGAATATGCAATGACAGGCACTTCGCTTGCAATTCCTCATCCACGCTAGCGTCATCCACCCACTCGGGGTCTTTGTCTGTTGCGTCTGTTCGGACCTTGAGCAAAATTTGCTGCACCGTCATGTTGAGGATGTCATCATCTGAATCGAGGGTAATCTTGGGCACTTGCAATTCCAGCTGTGCGACAGACTGGAGCTTGTTGAGGAAGTGCGCTGAGCCGTAGGTCCAGTCTTGCATAATCTTCTCCAACAAGCTGGTTGCACTGACTAGGCCTTTGTCGTCGCCCTTGGCCAGGAGAATCTTGATGGCATACTTGGCAGACTTCACAGGCCGTCCATACAGAGCGTAGCTAACAAGAGCCTGTGAGAATTTTCGGTCTTGAGGAATCTCTTCTGGGTACTTCTTTGAGTATGAAGCACAAGCTTTCAAGGTATCGACAACGTTGGAATCGTTCTCGTTGGTCTCTGTGGGAGCTTGCTCGATGAGACCCTTGCACAACCCTCCCACGTGAGTCTTGAAAAGCTCAGGGTTGCGCTGTGAGATCTCGTTGAGAATTTCGTGGGATACCGAGCCCAGGCCGTCCTTATCGTTCCTCGAGTAATCGAGGATCGTTGCAAGGTGACTTCGGTTGAACAGCAAGCAAGCCGACCTGTAGAGAAGCGGCAAGAGCGTATCGAGGATAGTCGCGTTCTGGCTTGCATTGGTGCGCTTGACCAGTTCCTTGATGGCTTGTCGAACCGTCTTGTAGTCGCTCTCGGCACTGACGGAGAATTTAACGAGCTGGTAGGCGCGTCGGTCATTCGCATTGGCGAACTTCTGAAGGTCGGTCTTCACTTTGAAGGAGTCTGGGAAGAACTGTGTGATGTACTGTACTGTCCTCTCCAGGTTCGCCGTAATCTTTGGGCGATTATCGTCTATCACACCTCCGTTGTAGCTCTCGCACTGCTTGACGAAGGCTTCAAGGACCTGCGCGAATTGAGGTTGCCGACCTTGCATAGCCATGAAGGCTCTCTTAGCCGCTTGGTCCAGAGATTGAGTAAGGAGAAGAATTCTTTCCGCGCGAATGCGATCTTGGTCAGCAACACCCGCGTTCTGAGAGCTTTGAGACGCCCCTCTGGTACTCTTTGGTGCCTTAATGGGAGGATAGGACAGAGGTACCAGGCACTCGAAGAGTACACGATCGAGAAGGATGTTGAGTTCAGAGTCGTTGGCATAGAAGGCGTTGAAAATGCGCGAAGGAATACCAGATAGGGCGGCAACGACGCTCTCCTGCCCAGCAGCAAGCTCCCCTGATCCAACGGCCCAGAGTTTCGCGAGCAACGTCATTGCATCGACTCGAACAGCAGTGCGCTTGTCTCGACACCGGTCGGCAAGACTGCTAAGAACAGAGCCGTCCTTATCCACGCCGCCTGGGGCAGCCAGCTTAGAGATGAAGTCGCGGAAGCTGAAGAGCTCCATCACTTTCACGGCAGCCAACCGGACCTTTTCGTCTCCATCGTTGAGCTTCTCCCCTAGATGCTTCACTAACTCGGACTGTTCCTCGCGACTGAGACCAATCCCGCCTGCTGAGGTGGCCAGGATGTATCCGACAGCGTTCGTCCAAGCTGCTCGAATAGTCGCCGTCTTGTCATTTCTTCTGCCCAAGAAATGGTTGTATGCGGAAGAATGGGTTTGCGCAAAAGATTGAGGCGAGAGAGGTGTGGTGAGGACGCTGTCGGAGATCTGACTGGGAGCCTCGTCGGCTAAGCGCAAAGGAGGATACTGAGCAGGATCCAACACGGGTGGCGGGGGCGGCCCAGCAGCACCGAGCCCGGAGATCATATCTCCAAGTGTTTCTGTGGCCAGTTGTCGAAGATCCACGTTATCGGCCGACAACTCTGCTTCGACCTGTGGTATGACATTTTGCAGAACAGATGGCGATGCGCGCCAGAGTTCTCGGATGAGATAGTGGGCCTTTCTGAGTTCCTTCAATTCTGAATCCGTAGGGCCCCTAGGGGCATCCTCGTCCTCTTCATCTTCGTGCGATTTTCCAACAGTCTTCGCCGCGAATCGAGATGCGTCGAGAATGACATCGCTGAAATACTGGCTTACGTAGTGTACCATCTTCTCGGTGCACACATTGCAGATCTCCTTCGCCATGATGTACGCAGGTGGCTCGTCCTTGGGCAGCAAGGTCGACTGGTTGCCGTTCTGCTCATTACGTTCTGTGCGGCTCTGGAAGCCGCCAGGAGGCGCTGCTCTAAGGAATTGGGCCATGATTACTTCAATGACCTTTGGGTTCATGCCCGATGCCTCGTCAACCAAGGCAATCAGCATTT